AAAAAAAAAAAACATTAAGGATGTCATTCCTGTTGTTTCTCGTTTTTTTTTTTTTTTTTTTTTGTTAATTCTTATTGAAATTTTCTCTTTCGTTTTTTGTGAATGAAAAATTCAAAATTTTTTCCAAAATTTCAAAAAAGTTTGAAGAGAAAAATTTTTTTCTTTCAAAAAAAATCAAACAACCGTAACCAATTATTAACGGGTTCGGGTTGAATAAAGATTTTGTTTTGTTTTTTTTTCTTAGCCAGATTTTGTTTTGTTGAAAACTTGATGATTGAATAATCAGAAGACAAAGAAGAATGAGAAGAAGACATTGAACAACAACAACAACAACAAAAACTTCTTTACTCTTTGGCGCCAATGAATGATAATCATTGATTTTTCAAAAGAATGATGATGGTGGTGATCCAAATGTGATGATTTCATTTGATTTCTTGATAGAGAGATTGAGAGAGAGAAGAAGAAAGATCTTTTAGGTGAGAGCCAGACTTTTTGTTGTTGTTGTTGTTGCTACCGTTGTTTTTTCTCGGTTATCGTTCATTCGAGCGTCTGAAACAGGTCATCATTCAGATGATGATGATGATTGAGAACAAACAAAGAAAATGAATTGAAATAAATTTTTAACAAAAAAAAAATTGCCGAATGAAATCAGCAAAAAACAAAACAAAACAATACATACCTGTATGTGTAGAAATAGACTATCGGTTGTTGTTGTTGTTTTTGTTGACGTTGTCATTGAGTAACCGAATCACAAAATACGTAATCATCATTATCGTTCGAAAAATTCTTTCTTCAAAGATTTCCACAACAAAAAAAAAATTTGATTTTGATTTTGATTGAATAATTCCCGGAATGCCGGTTATGTTTTTTTGACTGTATGTGTGATTTCAAAATTGTTTTCCTGTATCATCCAACCAAACATTATCATGGCTATTCAAATCATTTATGCTGTTATTGTTGTTATGTGGATTATTTTGAAATTATCATCATCATCATCATCATCATCATCAACATATGATTATCGAATATCATCATCATTATCATCCATTACCATATTCAAATTGGTGATGATGATGATGATGATGATGATTATGATGATGATGATCGATTGTAATGTCCATCGTCCTTGATGATTGTTGATATTTTTTTTTGTCAAAAATCTATCACAATCTAATGATGATGATGATGATCATCATCATCATCTATCCTATTTATCTATCTATCTATATTTCCAAATAATTGAATTAACCTGTATTTTATTCATTCAGTTTTGTTTGTGTTATGTTATTCATGATGACTGATCAACAAATTTATATTAAATTTTCATTTTCAAAACTTTTGATTTTTTCCAAAATGAAAACGAAATGATATTCGAACGGAAAAACATTCGAATCTATTTCCACGATTTTTGCTTTTGTGTGTGTGTATGTGTGTGCCATATATGAGTGTCGATCGAACAGAAACAAACAAAACATTCGATTCTATTTCCACTTCAGACAATTCCGAAGAAAAATTGTGATCCAATGAAACTTTTATTTTTTTCTTAATTTTGTTGTTGTTTTATGACTCAATCAAAGTAAAATATATTTGTTTTTTTTATTTCAAAATTTTAATGATAATATTGTTGTGCGTAGACTAGTATAGACTGAATTGCTTCATTTTCATTGATGATATTTTTTGCTCAACAAAAAAAAAGAGAAACAATG